ATGAAAATAAAAAACTAAAAAGATGGGACGATTCCCCCGAGACATTCTATGAAGCTGAGGCGTCGAATCGGCTTACGTTACGGTTAGAGATTTCGGCTCTTCCACGCTATCCCGAGTGAACATAAAACTTAGTCTTAACCAAAAGGCCAGGGAGTGAGGGGGTAGCCGCCCACTAGAGCATACCTTTAGCTACCCTCTTAGACCATCGTACTATGAAGACACTTATAAATATCTAACATCTAATGGGGGTAGTCTATTCGGTGAAGTTCTATGCTAATATATGACGTCACCAAAATCCTTAGGGATTAGCGAGCCAATCAGAGCTCAGCTCGGGAATTAGCAAACGATATAGGCTTTGCATAATCATTCTTCAGTGGATTTATTACTTGATGGGGATGGGGATGGGTGCTGAGTGTTGGTTTTCGGAAGAATACCGCTGTTCGATGTAATATGACGGCTTTCACCAAGCTGTTCAATTCTCGTTGTTTTCCAAATCAATCACAGGAAAATTGGGTATACAATTCATATATCAAGCGGACATTATTAGTAGTATTCGGATAAACACCACGGCACAAATCTCTTGAAATTCTTAATGTAAGTGGTTTACAAACAAGGCAGATATTTGCTGAAATTCAACGGAGCACAATTCAAGACCTCTAGAACCGTTCCAGTGTACATTTTCGTTCTTGATGATATAGTGAATGTTAACAATTTGAAGAGGATGAATGATAATCTGTATAAAATTAATAAAGAAATCAAGGAAAACTTAGCAAGCTTTCGGTTTTATTGCAAAACTATAATCAGGCGAAGAATTGTAATTTTAAAGCATGGATGTAAAAAAGCTGTTTAGATAAAACTTTCGAGAATTAATCATGAGTTTATAAGTCAACAGATACAGAAAGATGTCTTTGATTACAGCTAAATTAAAGCTCTAAGGACCGCTACATATCGTGGATAAAAATTCCTTTTCCGAATCCGTCTTCCAGACGGATATGTTTACTGTAGGCAGGGAAATAGGGCGCCCCGCGTCAGGCCCCACCGGAGGAATGATCAACCATCACAATAGGTTTCTTGGCCCCTGGGAATCGACGCCTGTTGTGTATTCATAGGCAACGTAATGGTTGATCGCCACGTGATGCTTCCAGTTCGTTGCAGCGTATTTATCGTTTTCAACCATTCCCATGAGATTCAAAAGATAAAGAACCGGCGGCCATGTTGGAGGACCGAACAATAGATACTAATGAGAAATCCTTTAAAATTTCCTCCAAAATGGCCGCTGTGACGTAACCTGAAAACGAAGAATACGGATGATTCAGAAAACGTTGTATTACTGAAGATAGTGTATTCAAAGTTGACTAAATCTCTTAATGGCCTGAGTCACATGCAGTCCTCGATTGCCTGTTTTTGTAATTATAATCACTAAKAATTATAGACTAAGAATTCTCGCTTAGATAACAACCATCCAAGTTTGTTGTTCTGGATGGAAAATAGAGAGACTGCATACTGATCTGGCTTTATTTTGACATGCGTGTTTCTGCTAATGCTACATTTATGGTCAGTATCTCGTATCACCCAATATGGTCAACAGTCTGGCTGGCTGACTGGCTGGTTGCATGCATTGTTTGGTTGGTTGTTCGATTGATTTATTGATTTTATTTAGGTGGTTTTTATCAAGAGGAGATGGGTCAAACACAATGCAAAAATTGTAGCAACGGTACCTTTGTACATCCAGATAATGCACCTGGACATTACTCACTTAACTGCAAGGCATGTCCACGAGGTTCGTTTCGCCAATTTGAACTTCTATTATAACATAGATAATATATAACAAGCAATTCAAAAAAGCTAGAGTAGCACTCCGCTTCGCGTCGTGCCACTCGTTACGCTTTTTATCGYGCTTAGCAACCTCCYGCGTGCATCCATAACAGGATGGATGTACGCTRCCTATGAACCRTTTCTTRAATAGATGTAGCACTTCTTTCCAGAGGGGTGGTTTTCAGCCAGACGAATCTACTTCATGATTTCTTGAGCATGTCTTATTAATTTTGTTTAGGGACTCAGTCCAACAAACATGCTGGTTACAGGGCATGCTCTTGTCTTAGAGGTTTTTACCGGTTTGACCGGTTTGGCAGATGTTGGGCGTGTCCCGCCAAAGGACTTCTCTGTGACAATGATTACGCAATACTTGCGAAGGGTTACTACTGGGAATGGACCAACCTTACAAGCAAACAACAGTACAGTGATTTTATAAATAACTTGAAAATCGAATCGGATGACTTTGAGCATGGTGCATGGAATTATACTGGTACTCTCCCCAAGCCCCACAAATGTCTTCGCGAGTCGTCTTGTCTAGGGGGATTGAGTTCTAGTTGTGCCGATGGTTACCAGGGTCCGCTCTGTTCTGAGTGCAAGGAAAACTACTTTGAGAGAATGAATAGGTAAGTATTACACACTTTTATTTTTGAAGATCTATTATCAACTTATTACTATGAATAYATTAATAGATGCATCCGCTGTCCTTCCAAGTTGCGGGCCGGTTTTGAAATTGCCGGCGTTATCATCGCCTTTGTTGTTATTCTGCTTGTTCTCCTATGGGGTGACAAAAGGAGAGTTCTTAGTGGACGAAGCATTGCTGATGTCATACTTTCGTGTTTTAAGATTGTCATTGGCTTTTATCAGGTAACAGAAATAGTTAACGTACGGTTATAATATTTTTTAAATTTATGCCATCATGTCAGTTGGAAACTTTGTTTTTATTCACAGGTCATGGCAGGTTTATACACATGCTTTTCAAACATTGAATGGCCAACTTCCGTCGTCTGGATCCAAAAAGCACTTCGCTTTGTCGAGCTTAACCTTCTTGAATTCGCGCCCCTGAGCTGCTTGAGCCCAGAGTTGTCTTTTAATAGCCTGCAAGAGTTTGTTGTTGTTCTTATATCTAATGGTGCAGTCGTTTTAGCTATACTGATTTATCTCGCTATCAGAATAGTACAACACAAAAACAGAAGAGGCKCAATGTCGAGTGACATAGCCGAGTCCATAGCACACACTAAAAGCTCGTGCATACGCAATATCTGTGTCTTYTTATTTGCTACTTATCCAAAGACTTGCACGAGTATCATCCAGATCCTCTCGGTCAACTGTATACCACTTTGTTCCCATGACGACGACACGCATTGTACACACTACCTTAGGAATGACGTATCAATCCGGTGCCAGACCTCTCGCTACCAGATTTATTCTAAAGTCGCCCTTGGCTTTCTTCTTTATCCTGTTGGGCTCCCTGTGGTTATGATGTTACTCGTCTGGTATTACGTACACAAACCCTTAAAGACAGTGACTGCCGACAATCCAGAAATTGAAATGCCTCSGGTATTACGGGAACACCTCGGGAATTCAGCAATTTCGTTTTCTTCTAATCAAACCAGTTCATCTTTCAAATCAGGTATATGAGTGTTGTGATGGGCAGATCATAATCATCAATCCAGCATATATCATCACTATCATCATCACTACCGAGATGAACTATCCATTGTTATCTTACTGCCATACGTTTTGTTATCATATTGTTAACATTTCTATTATTATTTATTGTAATCATTTTAGGTTTGAGTGTGTTTTATGAGAATTACAGACCTGAGTGCTGGTACTGGGAGACCGTTGAGATGGTCCGGAAGTTGGTTCTTACTTCCGGGTTGACAATAATTGGAAAACATAGTCGCACCCAAATTGGTCTTGGATCAATCATTTCCGCTTTATTTGCTGTTTTATATGTATATTTCCATCCAATTGCAAACTCGTTTGAAAACCACCTCCAAACCGTTGCATTGATGGCGGTATTTCTTAATCTTGGAATTGGTGTGATGTTGAAAGAATCTGATGAGAGCATACCCACAGCTGTCAATCAGCGCAATGACAAAGTGGGCGTGTCCATCTTAATGGTGATCATCAACTCTGCTGTTATTTCTATAGTCATAGGTTGGTATCATCATCATAACCATGTCATCATCATCATAACCATGTCATCATCATCATAACCTTGTCATCATCATCATAACCGTGTCATCATCATCATACTAGTCATGCCGTCTTGTAGTATCATTCATTACTTTCAGTAACATTGAAGCCTGATAGTTCGTTGAGAATCAAGATTCTAATGCATAGATTTGTATATGTTTTGTTACTCAGTTTCATGCCTTAAGATTATCGTAAAGAGTCTATACAAATGGAGTAAGTCCAATGAGCGCAAGTTTCGCTGCGCAGATTGCTGTCAGACATTCGGAAAGTTCTGCTTGGGCCTGCTGGTACCCTCAAAACTGGTAAATAGCAATTACCAAATGCCAGATAACTACCAGGTACGACAAAATCTACTGGAGGAATCATCTGAACGTCATTAGACTGATTAAAACAAAGTTTTATGACTGCATATGATTATTATTAACACTTCATTGTATTTTTGCTGATTCACGTCACCAAAGTTTTTAATTATTTGTTTAGTTAGATCTGGCAAACAAAACAAGCTCYATTTATGTAGCCAGTATTATTTTAATGTATTCTTTATTATGTCAAGTAGATACTTTTGTTATCATCATCTTTATTAACACGAAGAATAAGGGTAAATAAAACAAACAAGCTCTATAAAACGTGATAATTATGCATCATTTGTAATCAAGAAAAGTGACTCATACATGTTTAATTCCCATATACCTTTGCGCCCCAACACATCCATTTAACAAGAAAGAATATATATAAGTTAATACAGTTCCTTCACATAACTTCGATGATAGTGCAAGAAAAAAGATAGCTTTTTTTAATTAACGTGACAGACACTGTCCACAATGTCACTCAGTTTAATGTAAAGATCCCTGTAGTCTGACACCGAAAACACTCGATCTTGTTTTCCCATGACTATTTGCAGCAGTTCGGGCCGATTAATTCCCGAACCAACACCGACAGCAATCACGACTACTTTACGATCCTAGAAAAGAAAGCAGGTTGTATGATTACTAAAGCTGAACGGTTTTTCTTTCTTTTTCACTAGATATGCGCTTCGGGCAATATATAGTCTCCTTCGCAGCCTTTCATTTTGACGGGCTTCCTGGAGGGACAGGAAGCCCGAAAAAAGGAAAGGCTTCGAAGGTGACTAGGCAATATAGTGCACCTCTACTGGTAATCAGGGAAAACTTACAAAGAAATATACATATATGTCTATATTTGACAGCGGTTTTTGCAACTACGTATATATATTATAAATGTACCCTCAAGGGCCGTAAAGCATCCTGGTAAGGCTTGCTTTGATTGTTAGTTCTTCCATCTGTCAATACAAGAAGAACATTCGGTACATCATATCTATCGCCACCATGTGAAGTGAAGATATCCTTAGCTGCCTCTTGTAAAGCCTTGTCAGTACGAGTTCCGCCGCGCAAATAGGGAAGACTGCGTACCAGTTTGGCCAGCTCACCAGATCGCATGTGGAACGCCGCACTCTAAATCAATCAAACAGAATATGAGTTCATCATTTGAAGTTTCTTTCCCTCCACCGCTTTTTGATTTATAGCAAATGTTATTTTCACTAGTATTATAGACCATTATACGAGAAATATACGACATAATACCGAACTAAATCGTTACTTACATGGATGGACGTTCTGAAAAACGTTCCTTACATTAACAATTTTATAACATAGTGATTCCTTGTCTTGGGAAGGGAGTAACCACAAAAAATCAAAGATCTTACTTGGTTAAAGGTTATCTGGACGTAAGGATTTTGATTGTATACTATAATAGCAAGTCTTGTGCCCTGGATTGATCCCTGTGTGTACATCAGTAAGTCAGTGAGAAATTCTTTAGCGATTTTATACCTCGACTGGCCAATACTACTTGATGAATCAAGTACTAGAGCAAGGTCAAGGTCACGGCGACAGCGCGATGGACCTGGAAATACACGGATACGAATTTTTAGAAACTGATTCGTCGACAATTAAAATCAATTCTCTACTTGCACATGACCCATAATACCTTCTGATTTTGGGGGGTAGGTTTTATGATGCAAATAAAATTAATTGTTATTCAAATATAAATGATTTCAATAACAATAACTACCCCCCAAAATCAGAAGGTATTATGGGTATGCGCAAGTAGAGAATGAATAGATATGTTTGTTATCTTTGTCAGACTGAGTTGATAACAGTTTGTATTTGATGAGCGCGCTTTTTGAGTCAAATCAACTAGAGCCAGAATTCAGGGCATCAGGAGAACATTTCAAGACTCTCCTGTTTTATCGCTGGTTTATAATATTCTTACATTTTCCGATTGTACACTTTCCTTCTTCGGTTTTCTTTCCGACGCAGATTTTTCCACCGTTTTCTGGCGGAGGATTGGAGCAAACTCGTTCACGTAATTTAGTCCCAGACCCACACGTTTTACTGCATGACGTCCACGGTCCCCATGGAGACCAGTTTCCATCTTGAGGGCTTTTGGTATCTATATGAAGAATTCAAATTACTTAAATGTGTTTATAAGTCACTTAATGGCTAATTAGTCTCAGGATATAGTCAATTATCATGAATCAAAGCATACCAGCGGTTTTTATCTTGTAAATGTAATTAGTGTTTGGGACACCGACACAGGGTCTGGCACTAGTGCGATTACAATACATCGGAGGTAAAGCAAGTCCCATGATGCATTTGTTAGAAGGGCCATGCATTGAAAAGCGTGATTGGCCGTTTGGTCCACTCCAGCACTCTCCATAAAACTGTAGACCAAAATACTCATACCCACGAGCCTTCGTCTTGTCTGCACAGCGGCAAACGAAACTGTATGAAACACGAAGAAGAAACTTTAATCCTATAGCATCATACTTGAAGTGTATAGCACATCGTTAAATTCTATGTATTTGCCGTGACAGTGAGGAAGCAAAGCCACCGCTGAAGCAGAAATCCATTCCATCGCTCAACTAAATTTTTACTCTGTAATAAACCATTTTCTATTTTTCTTCTATTTAATCAGTAATCTTCTATACATTCAAATACCCGCAGTCTTTATGTCATTGGATTTGATACTTCTTTAATCTGCAATATCACAAAACATACAACACACTAGTCCTTACTCTTTGAGATAGTGATCAAAGTTGTACCAATCTATCATCCGACCGCTGTATGCAGGATGAGTTGGATCGCGGTCGTTAATCAACAATTCAGGTAGAGGTCTGGGTTTGAGTGTGTCCACAAAGCATCCAATTTTCTCTAGTTTGGGACATGAATCACCTAAGTGAAAAAAGGAYGAAAGAAAAGATAATGCCGAAAATACTCGAGATTTGATTGCTTTGTAAATTCRTTATTAGCTTTTTACACGCTTACCCGTCCGTTATTATATCTTTGGCAAAAATGAAGACCGCTTTATATGATTTTTTTTTAGTTTCCTTTTTCCTTTTTGTAATCATACTTGAAATTTAAAATGTCCTCGCTTTTATAGTTTATGGAAGTTATCCTTAATAATACAACGTGATTAAATGCGAGTATCATTAGTATAAGGTGGTCTTCGTTAGTTCTTCTGAATGCTCATTAAAGTGTACGCGATTCTAGCGGCTAAGTTCACAACTAWATAGTGATTTATAGAAGGAATATGAAATAATTTTTTGCTTTTTTAATCGCAAAATCAGCGTATGCTTGGCGCCTAAATGTTTGTATAATTGCATCATACTCACCGCTTTTAACGTATCTATTTGCGAAAAGAATCTGAAATAACACAAAGCTGACTGTTGCTCTCAACAGCGGAGCCATGTTAAGAAGATGRAGAGACAACGGGAAAGAAAAGTTGTTTTGTCAAAATAGACGCGAAGGCTGAATGCAAGGTGAAGTCGATTGGAGTTGAGGAAGCACCTCTACACATCAGGGTAATTAGGTAAAAAAAATATGTTTAAAGTCGAAAATTGATTCTTTAATAGCGCTGTTTAACARCCGCCAGTTAATTTTTAAAATTAGGATTATGCTTCAGATTTCAGCGACACTACAAAATCTCAGAAAACAAAATTTAATCGGAAACTTACTTTGATTTTCCTGTTCCTTGCAATTTTTTTTCTTTTCCTTCTAATAAAGAGGTTGCGTTCTTCAGCCAAATAACTAAATTTTGGGACCAATTAGGAAAGTGTGTAGCGACCATTATTATTTCCCTTAGAAACAAATTGAAATGACAAATAAGATAATTGGTTTTTGGTTAAAAAAATTGTGAATTATAATCGTATGCATATGAGAACTAAAAAAAAAAAAAACAAAAAAAATATGATGAAAAAATTCGAAAAGAACCGAAAATGAGGATTTCTCTCCCACAATGCCTTACGTCTTGTCCGAAAGGGACTGGTACCCAATATTTTGGTTCAAGAAAAGCAGAGAAAAAACTTCAATAGAAACACACACAAAATGAGTGAATTCAAACCAATTCTCGTTGGATTTGGATACGGTTTAAAGGACTCTATTCTAGGAATGACAGCTATATTCAGAATTGACGATGCTATAGARCAAAAATACGAAGAAAAACAAAGGAAATTGGCTGAATATCAGAGACAGCATCGAGGGACCAGAACGCGACCAAAACAAGAAAAGTAAGTACAGAAAGATGTACAGAATTTCTATTTCTTTTGTCCCAGGAATCTTGATCTTCTATATACAGCGTATGTAAATGTTGTATTTTTGTTTCAAGGAAATTTGAGTTCTTTAGCTTTGGAAATGTGATAATGATTGACATGTATAGATTTAATGTTTTGACGTTTTATAGATTCGCTTGCATAAAATGTCAAAAATATCAGCTTACATTACCGATGCAGAACAATGGAAATTCATTAGGGATTTCTGATAAAGCGACGTTGTTTTTGCAGGAGCAGTTCCTCAAAACAAATATTAAAGAATATGATTCAGTGTTGTCTGCTAAATGGAGGAATATTCTGGGTAAGGATATGTTATCATATTTCACAAAAATCATTAAATTTCAAGGATTAAATACAGAAACCACAAATCTCATTTACCTATGTAGTCAATTTAGTTATGCACTCAGCTCTTTACAATAACCTCACTGTACAATATGTTAGTCCTCTGTAATATACTCTTAGTTTAATCTGAAACTGTTTAATATTTTCAGGCTTCTAAACAAAGCTCAATCACATCACAGCAAACAAAAACCACTGACCGCTTTGCATTAAAATGAAATTTTAATGATATTTTTAACAATTCCATTGTCTGTACTCTTATTGACAATGAAATTGATGTCAAAATGCTCAAGTGGAACCACGAGCGTAAGCGAGTGGTTTCACTGCAAAGTTTTGAGCATTTTTGACGTCAATTTCATTGTCAATAAGAGTACAGACAATGGAAAACCGCCTGCGAATTGTTTTTTACCATAAAAAAGCTGAAAGCAAAGTAAAACTTTAAAAACAAAATCCTTTCGCGCGCCTGCTCTGTGCGCGAGCGATTCGTCATTTCATCCGTCTGTCCTAGGATTGACAACGGCCCTCGRCCAATCAGCGCRCGAGAATTCTACAAGTTATGGTAAAATATTGGATGCACACTGATGTTATTTGGAGTGTTGCATACAGCATCAGTCATGATCATTAAGGCTTCCATGAGCACTCCTCCCATCCTATATTAAGCCTTCCTTGTTCYTTTAATAGCTTCTCCCCTTTTCTTTGCGATGCCATTGTATATAGGTAATGTCTAATGTGTATTCATCTTTTGTTTCAGTTAAGTATATTCTTATTTGAGAATTACATTATCCCTATATTACAATGGATCACTAGGAATATATTTGGTAAGGGAATCATAACTGTTATAATGGTTTATCAAAAGCATGGACATCACATGTAATAATTCAAATTATTTGTTACAGAATTAGTATCTGGCAGTACGTCCCAGCATAGCAACGTTTGGTTYTGGATGGGACCAGCTTTATCGTATGTKTTTGGTGCTTTATGGGTTCTGCCACTCTTCTGGCTTAGTAAACCTCTAAATTCACTATGGTTTCAGGTACAAATGTGGGTTATGAAAACATACGGCACTTATCATTCATTCATTATTTTATTCCCAATCCTCTCAAAAAATAAAGTTTTATTGTATTGCTGTATGGCATATGAATATAAACTTAAGAATCTCCTTTGATTACAAACACTTTTTTTCTATTTTACAAAGGAAATAGCAGATATGGCTTATAGAAAAAACAGAGGACGTCCATTAGCTTTAGTTCATATAGCCAGGGGGGAGAGGTAAGGCAGATTTGGTCATATTCTTCATAATATGATATTGTAAAGCACCACAATGTAGTGATATTAAACTGCCTTGTGTTATTTTAGCGTATCAAGTTATTTCAGTAGAAGCATAGCAGACTTTGCTTTTAGTATTCTATTACAGACTTTCTTTCTACTTCAGGTAAGTTCCAAAATTATATGAAATTTCGTGCAATTAACATGTGTATTGTCCATATTGTTTTGATTATATTTTTTCCCTCATTCTTATATTTATCTTTTTTATGCACTTGTTGATCAACTTGCTTGAAGTGTTTTTATCTTTACATATTGTGCATATTTCCCATTTCATCTCATTTATTTATTTTTTTCTTTATTTGTTCTATTAGGGTCTTGTTGTTAGTTTTCTACCAGTAGTAGGCATGATAGCAAGTCTTGGTCACATGTGTCTGTTGTACTCTCTGTATTCATTTGAATACAAGTGGGTTAACATGGGTAGGTAAAGTATTTTATGATTGGT